TTTACTTTCTTTTTGACCTGTTTAGAAGAGATGGATCTTTATTGGTTTTTTGAAGGATTTTTTTTAAGTGTTGCGTGCATGCTTCCTTTAGAGTTACCCTCTACTATATATATGTATATCTATTTGTTATTCATTTTTTCTTAACAAGGAAGTTAAATTTGAGAGGCACGTTACCAGGAAGCTAAATTTGGTAAAGAAATGACTGAGCAAACTGTGAAGTTATAAACTTGTAGACTTTGTTTGATGGGAAAAAGAAGTGTGGCAAAGTATGACCAAGTGTGAGCATTGACTTTCCAGCTAATGTGCTAATCTTACACTCACAAATTTTTCATTGTAAAAAAATATGTATCAAGCAGATCCTCCCCTATTTTTATTGCAAATGCACTTTTTTAATCGTGCTACTGTATATTTTAATGGTTTATATACCTTAGGTTTTGCATAGCTTTGCTCGAGTGTATAATTCTGTATAGATCTTTGAGGGAAAAAATATTAAGCAACAAGAGCAGTTACCTACCTGTGGTTTCCCAATTTGGAGATGAAGGCATGATCAGGTTGAATTACTCACTGGGGTAGAAAGAATTATGGATATATTCAAGACAATACATCCAAGAAATTTGATAGCTTATATGTAAATATTGCAGAATGGTAGCTTATTAGGTAGGCTTCAATTGGAAGACGTGCTCATCTTTGTTAGAATATAGATAATAAAGGTGACACGTTCTGATCAATTAAAATTTTTTTTGGTAATTGGTTACTTGCCTAAGTATATAAATACTATTAGATTAGAGGTCTTCAATTCTACCTGTTAGAACTTCACACTTTCTTGTTCACTGGTCTCTTCCACAATGTTTCTTAGATGAGTCTCTTACCAAGAATTGGGCCTTCATGCATAATTCTCTAATTGGTATTTCACTTGAGCAATTTAGGTTTGTATTGCTAAGTATCTTACCCCATTTGCACTTGAGGGGGCATGATCAATGATAAATGATAAAGTTGGTTCATATTCTATTAGATTAAGTTATAGGAAATGGATCAGAAAACTATTTATTTAACATTCATATTTATGCCATCACTTTTACACCTCTCAGTCATGAAAACTAATATGTTTTTTTTAGTGCAATCTTTAACCTTAAACTTTAGGGTGTAACTTGTGAAACACAGTAAGTAAAGTTGAAAAGGAATCCTAATACTTTAAGGACCAAGAGTTATGACATTGCGATTTTATTTCCCTTCCTTTTAGTTCGCTCTCTTCTTTTATTCTTTTAATTCAGCCTTCGAATTTGCTCAATCTGAGATTACCAAGAGAATAGTTGCATTAATATGTTTGAATAGATGTCTGAAACTGTGTATATAATCCTCCTTTTGCAGCAATTCAATTGCTAGTTTTCTGATAATGCTCGGTTTGATGTAGCTTCATCCAGAGTGTGCCCCACATTCTGTGGCTTACATACTTGAGTTGTTAGCATTACGCCACTGTGCAGGCTGCCAATTTTATCGTGCAGAAAGCAGGGGAGAATCTTGGGATTCAGAAGGAAACCACATTAAAAATGTAAGTTTCGATCTCTTACCTTCTATTTTTTACCTCTAGGATTTGCTCTAATTGTTGTGAGTTTAAGTCTGTTATAGGTGAGTCACTACTGAATTAACAGCTTTAAAATTGCTTCCTTGACTAACCTTAAATTTCTTAATTTCAACTTTCTAAACCAGTATTTATGCTGTTTACAGTTTTAGACATAGTAAGTCATGCTAATGCAAATGCTTCATCTCTCTCTCTAGGCTTTTGCATTCTGTTCCAGTAAGAAAAAATGGGTTTTCTACTCTTGTTTGTCTCTACCTCTTTTCTTCTTTCCTTTGCTAGAAAATAAATTTCATGGGAAATTTGTGGAATAGGAGAGCTGGTTTTTCCATTTCAAAAGCAACAGATACTTGTCATTCTTTCGATCACGTGTTCTAGCAAGAGAAAACATTTAGATAGGGCCCCCTTGTCAATTTAGGCATCGAGCCAAAAACTCAACCTATGTCTCGAGCCATCATGATGCGACCATTGAATCTATCCCATTCGGACATAATGTTATTCCATAGGCTAGAACCCATTCAAAGCTCTAGAATATCTGGTCCACCCCTTATCTTTGGTTCTAAACTTTTCCGTAATCACCTTCCACCAAACACCAAGTTTTGCATTTACGAATCTCTAAAGCCACTTCCCAAGCAAAGGTTTATTAAAGCAAACAAGCGATTTAATACCAAGCCTACCGTGAGAACAAGGAGTTTCACTCTATCCCAAGCTACCAAATAGAATCTCATTCGAGCCTTGGTATCACTCCAGAACAAGCGACATTGGGCTGACTTATACCTCTTTGCTTCACTCATGTAGGACAAAGAGAATTTGGACATAATACTTGCAAAAAATTTATTTAGAATCATAGTTGAAGATCTTGATCTTGAAATTTAAATTAATAACTCAATGTTTGCATAATAATCACATGAATAATCAACCAAATATTAAGTTAGAATATAATAAAAATAGAAATTCTTAATCTATCTAAGAATTCTACTAAGATAGGAAACCAGCTAATTAATTGAATAATCTGTACACAACAAAATAGTTAAGTAGGAAGTATACCATTAATAAGACTTTAGATAGTAGCTCCTAAATAACCTAAATACTTTAATAATACATAAACGTTATAGTTATGTAATTATATCTTATTATTGAAATTTGTCCAAATGCTCCACCTAGAGTGGCTTTTTTTCCATGGGAAGCTGCTAGAGAGTGTATATTGACTATTGATATGCGGAGGAAGAGGGGAAACATTATGGTTAATTGATGTTTTTTGTGTAAAGCTGATGAGGAGTCTTGTAATCACATCTTACTGTGGTGTCCAGCTCTGTACAGCACTTGGTCCATGATCTATGGGTTGTTGGGGTTGAGCTGGGTCATGGCAGGTAGTGTAAGGAGCTGTTGGCTTGGGAGGGTGTGTAAAAAGAACAGATTCCTACGTCTTATTCCACTGCCTATTTTCTGAGTGGTCTGGAAAGAAAGAAATGTGGGGGTGTTTGAGGGAATTGAGAAAGATTTTGTTAGTATTAGAGATACTTGGTTATATACTTTTGGCTATATGATTTTGGGTCATGACGATAGGGACTTGAATGATTTTGGGACTGTTTTTGACTATCTTATTCACATGTAACTAATTTGTATATGGGTTGTTCTCCCTTAGTAGACTGTTAATAATATATTACTATCTTTTGTTTAAAAAAAAAAATCTTCCTGTTCAGCATCATTCTATTCCACTTAGTGAAAATTCAACATCAAGTTTTGAAATGTCGAACTAGAAGTAATATTAAAATTGAGACTTGTCTTCCAGCTTGCAAAACTTCAAATTTTTGTGAAAAAGCAAGAATGTTCACAAATTCAATGATTCCCGACAGAGAGACCATTCTTATCTAATGTGAAGGATCTTCAAAACTCTTCTATTCACAAAAAAGTCCTCTTAAGCCAATTTCTCTTTTTCTTATCAAGAGAATCAAATTCCAGGCAATCAAGATTTGGCCGCCACATACAAGTATCTTGGTAATGCTTCTAAAGAATCTTTTAATTGTCTCTCTCTCAAATTCCCGTTGTTCTCAAGAACCTGGTCGCCTACTTCCATTTTCTTGATGTAGTCACAATGTTTTGTAATTGCTAGGCAAGCTGTGGAACTTGGTGTTTCTGTTGCCTTTATGACTACATTTGTAGATCTTTTGTCTCTAAGAGATTTCTATCATCAACGGTTACTTAACAAGATCCATCCTCTCCTTCCTGACTCTCTCGCTCCTTAGGAGATAAGACTCTTCTGCTCTGAGCTATCAAAGCTTGTGTCAGCTGGCTCTTTCTACTTTGGAATCTTCAAACTCCCTCTTGTATCAAAGCTCACTTTGGGTTTAAGATGCCAAAGATTATTGGCTATCTTGAAGCTAGCATGCCTTTCTGCCTGAGGCTCCTTCCACCAACAATGAAACTAAAACCCAAAGCATTTATTACCAAAGCGGAATGGACAGGGCCTTACTGGATATCTCTGCTCTTGAGACTCAAGCGAAAATTGTCCGTATGGCGTGCAACAATAGTTTTTGCATCACAACCAAAACCTGAGAATCAAAAGAGGCAGATCAGTAAGGTCAAAGTTGCCCAAACTCCTCCAGGACTCCTCAACAAGCACTCAAGAAAAAAACCGTCCTGATCTTTCATGGGCAAAAAGATCATATTTAACCCCAACGAACCAAGAAATTCCCTCTTCCATACACACCTGTGGATACCCAACACCAGCCAACCGTCTTGCATTTCAGGACAGAAGACACAGGGAACAGCCCGGTACACCAGTCTACAAACTCTTAACTTTCATCCCACAAAACTGTACTTCCATTTGAAGCTCCCTTTGCAGAGAAAAACTTCCACCCACCTCCTTGACTCTCCAAATATTACCACCAAGTTAACATAAATAATCTCCACATTTTGGATTCTTATACGCTTCTGGTTTCCATTTGCACAAACAACCCTTTATATTTACTGCTTCCTATACTCATTCAGGCCCCTATTCCAAGACAAATTTTTTAACATAATGAAACAATGTTTGAGGAACTCTCTAATGCTTTTTCCTGTCTTGGTTGGTTGATTAACATAATGAATCAATATGGTTTTTTGGGAAATCTAAATGATTGAGAAGTCAATGAGTATTTGAGACACCTTCAGCACCTTGTTTGCTATAAATGCTCATTTGATGGGACCGATAAACCTGTTCAGGATTGCCTTTTCCCTTGGAGGTAGCAATTTCTCTTACCATCGACAAACTCCAAAAAGGGGAAAGATTTAGCTAATTGTTGCTACTTGTGCAACAGGTAGCTGAGATGTGGGATCATTTTCTTTTTTGGCATCTTTTCTCCCTCTTACCCTGGTGTGTTGCTTTGGATTTCTTTGGGATGAGATGGGTGACGGCAGGCTGTATGGCTAAGAGATTTGGCGGGTGCTTGCATGACATTGAGAGTACAAACATAGCAAAAAAACTTAAGGAAATTCTAAAGGGATCAGTGGGTTTTGATCCTAATTACAACATAGATCCATTAATTTGAAAAAAATGACAATATACGAGCTTTAGAAGTCTTCCATTTGAAACGTTGGTTTTGCCACTTTTCCAAATTGTGAGAAAGAACTTTGAATTTTTAATTTTAAATTATCTAAACTCTAAAAGCATCCTGCTTATTATCATATTAATGACAATGTAAAGGAAAATTTTCTTATGAAACATTAGCCCAAATTTCTGTGCAGATATAAATCATGTAAAAGATAACCACTTTTTCAAATCGTTCACTTCTTCAATCATTTTTCTTCCCACACGTTATTAGAATTCTAAACTAAAACCTTTACCTTAGGATCTCTACTATTCAAATTCTCAAACTAGGAGCTGACAGTCATTTTTTTCTGAGGAGTTATTTTAAAATTGACCCTTCACCTGATTAATACACTTGTTTGTGCACATTATTTTGTGGCAATTAACTTGCAAATAAAGTGTACCAGAGAAGTGATTATCAGAGTTCTGTTTTGAAAATTTTTAAAAATTGTAGGTCCTAAAAATATGCAATTATAAGTATAAATTATAGTAGACAAGGTTTTTTATTTATTTTACCTAGAAAACAATACAATGAACCTCACAGATGAAATAATGAATTGAGATATTGAAGGGTATTCACAACATTTACTTTTCTGATTTCGACTTCTTGTTCTTATGCTAGGCTGCTTTTGGACCTCCGTTTGCACTGATTCAAGGAACACTTGAAGCGCAAGGAACGGCATTCAAAAAGATTCCAACAGAAGTTTGCCCTACCATAAGAAGGGGTTCGGTAGCATGGGTTGGTTCTGGTCCAGAGTTTTTCATAAGCCTAGCCAACCACCCAGAGTGGAAGAAAACATACACTGTTTTCGGTTCTGTGCTTCCTGAAGACATGGAGATAGCAGAAAGTATTGCACATCTGCCCACCAGATCGGATGTTTGGAACAATATCAACGTATCAGTCTTGGAAAAACCTGTCCCCCTTATATTCCGGAGAATGAAGAGAGGCCATGGAGATCATAATACAAATTCCAAATCAGAGTGAACTAGTTCAATGTTTTTCCTTTTTCATTTTTCATTTTTTATTTTCCTGTTATTATACAAGCCTAATGGTTTTCAGCAGTTTTTCACACATCCTCTTTTTTTGTGTACAAGCAGGAGACATCATGTCTCTTCCAATATTCCATATATTTATTGTAAAAATGTTGCAGCCAAGTTCAAATACACAAAATATGTGTACTTTTGATGATGCTTTTGATTGCGCTTGTTTTAATAACGATTTTGTATGGTTAGTTGAAATCTTGCCAGTTATGCTATTAGGTTCTTACAACATGATAGGTCTCTATCTCTCTCAGGTTTTGTTTTGCTTTTTTAAAAGCACAATCTGGCTTTTAGCTTTTGGTATGGTGATAGGTAACTACTTAAAAGCTCTTCTTAAGGTGAATGCAGTGTCTTCAAGCAGCTTACCATACGGCTTCCAGCGTCAGTCAGCGAAAAACAGTGATTTCTAGCTCTGTGATGGGTAAATGGCAACCCCCTTCCGTCTGCGACAGGATATTCGGCACAACTAAATGATGATATCATTGAGAAATAGGAATCTGTGTTATCAAAAGAATTATTGTTATTCTTTTTAATATGGAATGAGTCAATCATCCATTTTGATATTTTGTTGAACAAAAATAGTGATATTGTTCCTTTATTGATCAAGAATTTCAATTTTTGAGAAGTATTATAATCATTCAATAAAAAATGTTTCAATTTTTTCAATTGAACGGTTTGAAGATCTATTAATTTTAACAACTAATTGTAGATTTAATCATTTGAACTTTTTAATTCATAGATGTAGATCTTGTAAGTGGAAATATTCTCGGAACTCATAAAAAAAAAAAAGAAAGTGAGTTAGTCAAAAAGAGAAATAATTTAAACAAAGAAAAAAGTAAATTGGATAGAAAGAAATGAAATGATCTAAATAAATTTTTTTTATCAATAATATCAAATCAATCAATCGAATATTGATTAATACGTAATTGATCGAACACTACTTGAAATAGCTCTTCTTAAAATGTTCCAAATACTCTTGAAAATTCTTGCTCCTATTGGAACATTTGTATTTATATGCACGAGGATATCTCATATTGAACCTTATTGGGAATATTGACTTTGCAGTCTTCTAATCTGGGTTCTATTGGAGAATATATTTTATTTGTAGTAATTCTATATGCAACTTTTTATCCTCAGTTGTCCTCTAATTATTGTTCTACTAAGAAATCCTATTTTCTCTCTTAGAAACTCATTCAGTTCAGTCACCATGCTGATATTTTTCCTCTCTTGAAGAGAATTAAGCATATTGCAGAGTCTAAATCTGTAAGGAAACATTAGTGAAGAAAATAGCAATTCATCATGTATTTCACTACTTAACGTTTCGTTCGATCTCATTTATTCAAGTTGAATGTTAAAATTAAATTCCTTTAAATTAAGATAATCAAATTTTGTTTATAACCCTTAAGGATTCTTAGTTAAAAAAAAGTAGTAAAAAAATCTAAATGATACTAAATTTTTTAGTTTATATAAAGCTTATTTTATACACAAAATATACTTAAAAAATTAGCTTATTTACAATAGTTGTAAATAATTTAGAATTTTATGTTTGTGCTCAAATTAGAGAAAGTGTCTTCAAGAAAAGAAAAGAAAAAAAAAAAAAAAAGAGAAAGTAAGAAAAAGAAAGAAATTATAAAATGAAAATTGAAGCAAATTTATGGAATGAATAGGAGTATCTCAACATTCTCTTTTGACTACCATTTTATTTGAAAGCACACTCCAATCCCAGTTTTTATTTTACAATGATAAGATTTGAAAATTTAAAAATTAAATAGTATGGAAAAATTACCAAAATTAATATAAAGAATTTTCTATGTGGAATGTGCTTTTCTTGGTAATTATCTCAATATTAAAATGATATTTTTTATTTTTAAGCATGTTTGAGATTCAAGTTCTAAAGATTATAATGTGTCTAATATTATTTGCTATTTTCTTGGCTGAAAATTTGTAAATGGAATGACTTTAGAATATTTTCTAATTATTGGACATACATATTCTATATGTAGTTGCTTTAGATTATTATAAATTTGTAAATGGAATGACTTTAAAATAAAAATACGTTCATTCTTTTTTTTAAAGTGTACATTTAGAACATGATTATAATATATTAAATATTTATATTTTTTGTAACATCCGAGCCTGAAAATTTGGCCCAGAATTATTTAATATTAATGAAATAATAAATTAAAATAATTTTATTTTTAAATTTTTTGTAAATTTTTGAAAAAAAATTAAGTTTTGGATGCATTTGAAAACATTTTCAAAAATCAGGATTAAAATAAAAATAAAAGAGAACCTATTTGAAAGAATCTAAAAACTGGAGTGAAAATAAAATTAATAGAATTTTGGCCATGTGAACTGCCACATAAGCACCACAGCCAGTCTCCTTGCGCCGCGTGGAAGACACATGGACATGCATCCATATGGGAGGTCACGCGAGCGATCCGCGTACCAGCAGATCCAATGGCCCAGATTGCATCCTGCACGCAAGGATGACCCATATTTGTTTCCTCTTCAAGTGCGATCGAACAACTAGATTTGATCAGATTCTGCGGTTCAGATTAATTTCCCAAGTAAGTCCAATCCAGTGGTTGAGGATGAGTCACGTTTCCACCAACAGACGACCCAAATTTAATGAAGAAGAGTATTTAAACTCATCTTCACAGGAAACCCTAACCCTAGCCGCCAGAGAGGAGATCGAAGAAGAAGACCGACCACCGTTGCCGCCGCATCGGAGCCACTGTCAATGCCGAAAAGATAAACTTTTTTTGCCTTCACTCAAAATTGAATGTCAAACCTTCCCACACCCATATCGAAGATAGAAGGTCAACGACTGAGCCGAAAAATACAAGCGGAGCTTGGCCGAGCTGCTGTGGTTGCAACCCAAAAACTCCTCTAAAGAGCCACTTTTTGTTTT